GTTGTGGTCCCCTGCCTCAGCCTCTCAGCTGGGACCGCCGGCCTGTCCCTGTGCCTGGCTCTTTTTTTCTGCCTTGCAGTGTTGCCCAGGGCAGCCTCGGCCTCCTTGTTGCTGGAGGTTCAGGTGCCACTGCCCAGGGCCTCTAGGTTAGACCTGGAATCAGACCCTGCCCTCCCATGTGGCTGGCCCAGCATCGTACCACCATGGGCCAATTCTTTTTTTTTTTTTTTTCTAACTTGCCAGAGGGCACATGCCAGAGAGAGAGGGAGGCGGGGAGGGAGGGAGAAAGCACTGCCCCGGTCTCCCCCAGTGGGGTGCAGTCACATCACAGTCCCTCCCCTCCATTTCTCCATCCCGTGGGGATTCAAACTACACACATACAATACATCCAGCTGCCGGGTCCAGGACTCAAACTGCGGTCAGTCATGTGCAGTCTGCTTCCTCCCCTTCCTTAGGCCACAGGGCTGGCTCTGTGTGCCCTTCAGTGATGAATTAAATTGCCAGGGGTTTTGAATCTGCACTGTAGGTGTCCTGGCCCAGCGTTCCCTCTCACTGTGTCTATAGTAATGAGATGCTGTGGAGGTTTTCTGTATGCAGACTTGTTCGTTGTCTTTTAGAAAGTTTTCAGTCCTTGAAATGTTCCTGTCTGTCCTAAAATTGAGGAAACTTGGAGGTCCCATGTGGACTCTAGAGAGAGCCCTGGCCCTCTTGGTTACGACGTGGGCGCTGCGTCCTACCAGTGATGCTACTTTAATTCATTTCTTCAGAGGAACCTCACGAGGCCCCAGCCCGGCCTGATTGTACCTTACCTACCCTGTGAAATCTTCGTGGTGGGGGTGACCCTTGCCCCACAGATGCAGAAAGGTGTCCTTGAAGTCCAGTGGCTGAATTTCCCCTTGTAAGAGGAACCCTGGTCCCGCCACGGGTGGATCATCTCCGCTCTCCTGAATGACTTGGGCATGTTGCTTCACTTTGGGTTTCGGTTTCCTGACTTGTGAAGTGAGAATGCGATAGTGTCCGTTTCGTAGTGTGACGGGAGCGCCCCGTGAGTGCTCAGAGTTAGCACTTGTGGCCAGTGTGGCTTAGCATGAGCACGGGGAACGCCTGTTCTTCCGTCACTAAAGGATCCTGGGAAGGTCCCGGAAGGCTTCCTGAGCTGTGGGTACTGACCTGGCACCTTCAGCGCCACCTCATTTTCCTCAAGTAGAAGATGAGAAGTGGGCAGGACCAGCAGTTAGCGTAATGGCTATGTCGCTGGACTCTCATGTAGTCGACCACGGTTCGCGTCCTGGACCTGGTGGCTTAAACCCATGCCGGGTGCATGTGCGTGCATGCCCAAGATCCCGAGAGGAGAATGGAGGAGAAGGGATTACAGCATGACCATCCCCCCCCCAGGGGTGTGTGTGATTTTCTTGCTTTCTGTCTCTCTGTGTTTTTGGTGAGCGCATGCGCCTTATAGCAAAAACCTCTCCAAAACACACACACACACACACACACACACAAGAAGATGAGAAGTGGGTACCGTGGCCGTGTGGCGCCCTAGATCGTTCCACATGACACTTGCTCCTTCGGAATGTTTGGATTTTTGAAAATGTTTTCACCTGCTGACAAAGAGGTGGAGGAGCTTAGCTGTGGGGAGGCCCTGTCACTGGGGACCACTAAGCAAGGGAGAGGAGCAGCTGCAGAGCATGGAGGTCAGCAGGGGCCCTGCTCTCTCTTCAAGGCGTGACTGCAGGGAGGACCTGAGTGCGTTCACCAGCACTCCAGAGCGCACACCTCTAAGTGAGACCAGGAATCACCGCTCCAGCTCAGAGTCCTCCTCGGCCATCTCTGAGCCAGACCATGGCTCCCGGGGGCCGCTCAGCAGGGATGACACCCAGGGAGTCCCCTCCAAGTGCAGCCTCTGCAGAACCGCATAGCGAGCCCTTGGTGCAGGGGCTGAGCCTCACTGAGGAGCCTGCTCTTGTGGCCTGAGGCCGCCCTGACTGAGCATGGGGTGGGGGTGGAGGCATAGCCTCTGTGAGATGGTCCCTAAGAGCACTGGGTGAAAGCTGGCGTTTTGACACTGTCTTCCCCTCCCCCTTCCCCTCCCTTTCTCTCCCTTCCCCTCTCCCCCCCCCCCCCCCCCACACACACACACACACACACACACACACACACACAACACACACACACACTTTCCCCCCAGATCGTCAATTGAGGTGTGCATTTCCCACCAAGAGAGGGTATTTCCTATTCGGCCACAGTACCACCACCCAAATCAGGAAACTGACCTGGTCTCATCTTCTGACCATCAGACCCCAGACGGCCTTTCATAGCAAACAGATCCCATTCGGAATTACTCAAGGCATTTAACTGTGACCCCTCCCAGTGTCCTTGGGCCTGGAGCAGGTCCTTCATCTTTTCTTGACTTTTAATGACACTGGGAAGACTCCAACTTGTGTGTCAGAGAATTTGCTCCACTTGGGGTCCATCTGGTGTCCCCTGGCTGGGATTTGGAGTTGGAGTCAGACTGCACCTCGCCAGTGGGTATATCCCAGGACAGGTGCTTCTCCTGGCACCCCTGGCTGGGATTTGGAGTTGGAGTCAGACCGCACCTCGCCAGTGGGTAACCAGGACAGGTGCTTCTCCTGGCGTCCACAGGGTGGCGCTGATGTTTGTGTGGCCCTTACTGTTGATCCTCCCTACAGGGAATCCCTGGTGAGGCTTCTCTCTCCCTCTGTAAGTAATTAGCAGTCTGTGGGGAGGTGCTTTGGCGTTCTGTCATACCCTGCCCCTCACTTGTTGATGCCCATGTGGAAGTATGGCTCCACTGTGTTTAGACTGCCCTGCCCTGGCCAGTGGGAGCCCCCTCAGCTGCCTTCTGCATCCTGGCCTGTCCGGGTCGTCCAGGTGTGCCTTTGTTCTGGGTACAGTCAGATGCTCTGGATTTTGCTGTCCTTTATCCATTGCAGCCCACAGCCAGCTGCCCTCTGGGGGGCCCTGGTTCCTTGTGGAGGGAAGTGGAGGGGAAGGGGGTTTAGAACCAGCATCAGCAACTCAGCATCTTGTGCTGTTGGGCTTTTGCTCCTGGAAAGAGGGCGGGCCGGAGAGTGGGTGTGTGTGCACCTTGACATCTGTCTGATGAAAACTGTTCACACTAATACCTCCAATCCCAGCCCTCTACTGAGGGCCAGCTCAGGTTTTCTCCTTTTCTGTATCTGCGGCCCCTCTCTGAGGTGAGAACCCCAGCTTCCCGTATCTCTAACATGGTGTCTTAGCTGATCCATGCCCTGGAGGGAGCCAGGCGTCCCAACTCGGAGGCCAACCTCTCACCCCACGGCCACCCTCCTCTGCTCCAACACTGGCTTCTGTGCCAGGCTGCCCACTGCAGGGGTTCCCTGGTCACCCCACTCGGGCGTGGACTCCCCGTGGGGACACCCTCACCCCTGAGGCACCTGCCCTGCTGACTTTAGGACTGAATTGTCTGAGGCGGGGAGGTTGGGGGCCCAGCTCCCTCTGAAGGAGAAGGCAGGAGACGTTCCTGGTCCCCGGGGTAGCGCGCATTCTTTTTTTTTTTTCCAACCCGAAGTCCTCCCACCTGCGTCGCACTGTCCTCTGGGCTGTCGGTGAGCCTGCCCTAGCACTCTCTGGAAACGGCATCGGGGCTCTGGTCTCCTATGTGTGGGTTCATAGCTTCAGATTTATCGAGAATTAAAACGTGAACACACTTTCCACTGCGCTTTCGGCTCTTCAGACCCTACCTGCTAGCCCTTACAGACCCTACCTGCTAGCCCCCAAAACGCATAACGTTTAGTAGAGAAAAGACAAGCACAGATTAATAGGTAGAAACGTGAAGGGGAACAGTGTTTTAGACCCTTTTTCTGTCGCGAAAACGACACACCAACGTATCAAGGGTGCCCCACGATATTGGAGGGCCGCGGTTGATGGTCATGTCTGGTGAGGGCCCTCTGCAGAGTCCCAACGTGGTGCAGAGGTGCCCCACGATATTGGAGGGCCGCGGTTGACGGTCATGTCTGGTGGGGGCCCTCTGCAGAGTCCCGACGTGGTGCAGGGGTCGTCACGGGCGAGACGGAGCAGGTGCATGAGAGGTGCCCGCGTGCCCGTCTCCTTTCCTCTGCTTACAAACCTGTCAGGATTTGACCTTGGGGTCCCAACCTGAGGGCCTTAATTTAATCACCTCCCAAAGGCCTTGCATCTTTTTTATTTGCCAGAGGGCCTGCGTGCTTGCCAGAGATGACAGGAAGGGGAAAGCACCCCCACCCAGCCGTGCGTGGTCATGGCGGATTCCCTTCTGCATCTCCATCTTGTCGGGATTTAGAGCATGCACACACACATGCCTGGAATGGTTTTCGAGCCACAGGGACGGGATTTGAACCGCACAGTTAACCAAGTGGAGTCTGACTCCTTTGACCACTAAGCTACCGGGCCAGCTCTCAAAGGCCCCCTCTCTGTCTCATCACAACCACATTTCATCACGTGAATGGAGGGTGGGGTGGCAGAGTATTCAAACCCTAGCAGACAGCAGCTTAATGTCTGTTTAGAGCCTAACGTTTGACTTGCACTTTGGGAATTAGCCTTAAGTGATCTATCATACTGAAAGAGACAGAACTGGAACTCCCCAGTCCATCACAAAACCAGGAGAAAAAGCGAAGCAGACATTTGTGGTTATCAGCTGTCTCCTGACTCCACCTTGGTAAAAATCCGAAAGCCCTTTCTGGATCACGAGACAGCCTGCAACTGCCTGCAGGTGCCCGGTTACTACTGTGGGGCCGGGCCTCTATCGTGAGGTCTTGGGTTCGATGCCCAAACTGTTGGAAAGGCTGCTGATATAAACGCCCAGAGTCCTAAAACCGTCATCTCTCCCTGGCGTATTTATTTTTTTCATTTACGTAAACAATCAGAAATCTCACCCGTCCACTGTTGCTTTATGTGACGGATTCCAGCCTGGCTGGTTTGCTTTTGGCTCACCGTCTGTCTCTGGACGCTCTCTCGTGCAGAACACGTACACCAACGCAGATAAGTTACTAGAAGCGGCGGAACAGCTGGCTCAGACTGGGGAGTGTGACCCCGAAGAGATTTACCAGGCTGCCCATCAGCTTGAAGACCGGATACAAGATTTCGTGCGGCGTGTGGAGCAACGGAAGATCCTCCTGGACATGTCTGTGTCCTTCCACACCCACGTAAAAGAGGTAAGGCTGGAGACAGCAATCAGATCTGGGTCTGCGAGGGGCTTTGGGCTTCTTGGGAGGACTTTGAATTTGTTCGTAAAGCGAGAAAGCGGGCAAAGACGGAAGCCATGATACGGTGCCCCTGAGCCCTGCGCGTGTCTGCGTGGGCCTCCTTGTCCCACAAGCACATGCCCACCCTGGCCTGGGCACCTGTGAGAAGAAGGCCCGTGAGGTGGGTGGCAGGGGTGGGCTGTAGATCCGGGGCGAGTAGGGAACACGGATGGAATGCGAGACCACGTCCATCTAGCGCAAACAGGGACCTGCACACAGTGGTCGGAGCTGCCAGGCATCCTTCCCGTGTGTCAGCCCGTCATGTGGCCGGTGTCATGACTGCCTCCTGATCGTATCAGGCTGCTCTCAGATACCAAGAGTGAGCTTTGCACAATGTGGATTTCAGCGCCCCGAAGCCAGCGCGGTGGGAGCTGTATTAGCCCTAGCGTCGTGGGTGTGCTCTTGTTACTAAACTACCTCGTGATCAGAGGGATGCTATCTGATGTAAGTAAGGGGCTGGTGCTAATTATACCTGGCGTTATGTTGCTCTTGGTAGAAATCATATACAGGTTAAAGAAACTATTATACAGCTTTGGAGGGGAAATGTTATTTATTAGAACTAACATTTCCAGGGGGACTGCAGATCAAGAAGGATGCCTACTTACTGCTTCTTATCTCTGACCAGGGGCAGAAATGTCTCCTTCAGAGGCCCGCAGTGCGGCGGGCTCCCAGTCCGCGGGGCGCGCTGCACACGCACCTGTTACTGCACTCAGGTGTTGCGTTGTTGTCAGGTGTTACCCTCTCCCCTTACTATGCTAGCACTCTTGATGTTGCACACTTTTACACCCAAGCTGAGAGGGCGGTAGAAGGCGTCTGTGTGTCCAAGCGGGCCATGCCTCAGTTCATCAAGCAGCAGCACAGACCGCAGGCCAGAACTCCGAGCGTCTGGGTGTGCCTGAGGGGGAGGGCAGGGTGTCTGGTGCCACATCCGGGATGCTGGTTCCTCCTCAGGCCACAGGGGGCACCATTGCCCCACATCGTTGGGTGCCATGTCGGGGAGGGGGCTGGCAGGCAGCTGGAAAGCCCTCTCAGATGGAACTGCCATTAGGCACGTTCCAGGGCCACCGTTCGTGCTGAGTACTGGAGACAGTCCTGAGCGGCATAGCAGCCTCACCTAGGACGTTCACTCTCCTTTAGGACAGGGAGCACTTACTGTGAAGGCGTCCCAAAGTTTGAGTTAGGTCACCTTCACAACTGTGTTACGGTTTTCTAACAGATATGAAAGGAAAACTAGAAGGAAAGAGGGTTGCAAAAACTGCTCTCCAGAGACACAGTTTGGTTTCATTGGTGCTTGTGACATCAACATTTTTAAGAAAAGTCTTGTAATAGGAATGTGCCAGCTAAATGAAGGAGCCTATACTGTCACTAGGCTTGGGGTGATTTGAAAGTGAAAATGCAGTTTGTTTTTACCGATTTACACTACAGGAACTAGTATATATGAGTTTGTAGACTAAAGATACTTCAATCAGCGTTAAAGGTTAAGCAGGTCATTTTACCACTGGAGACTGTTCATGCATTCATTCTTTCCTTTTTTATATAAAGGTCATCACAATAGCAGAGAAACAGGCACGTTGACCCTAAGTTGCTGCCCTTCAGATGCGTACACCTCAAGTGACATGGGGCCAAGGAAAGACTTGGGGGCGATGGGACATGCACGGCAGCACACACGGGTGCAGGGGGAGTCGGCATGCGGGTGTTCTCAGGAGCTGGCCGCGGGCTTGGCTTGCTGCACGGTTCAACCTCTCCTTGGTTTGGGACCTCATTTTCCACCCAGGCATTTTTTTCTCAGTGGATATTTCTTCCCCTGACCAGCCCCAGCACGGTCCCGTGTCCACATGTCTCAGAAAAGGATGGTTTTCTCAGTCACTGTGTTTTGAAAGTTGTTACTGAACGAAAACTCAGTTTAGAACCAATTCAATTAGCTTAAAATAATTAAAAGTGAGACAAGGGCCAAGAGGAGGAAATCACGTTGATTGACAGCTGTGCATGAAGTCCTGAGCGTATTAGCGTATCTGTTGGACGGAGCATGGCCCGAGGTGGGCACTTTGTAAATCAGTTCTCTGCAAGCAAATCACACAATTTAAAACTACATTGAGGTAGGTAGAAAAAGTCATGTCTTTTCCACTTAGGCAAATTCATGGCCCTTTTTAGAAGTTCCCTGTTGGAGGCAGGCCTCCGACAGAGAAGGGAGCCTTCCTCACTGCCTGGAGTTTTTCTTCTTCTGGGCCATAGCTGGTACCCCCATTTTATGCAAGAAATGTCTGGTTCTACAATGAGCACATAACTCAGAGATGATCTTGTAATGGGTGAAAGAGATGCCAGATGGAGGTGATTCCTGTTCAGTGTTAGCTCAGGAATCTCTTAGAGAATTCCACCTGGCACTTGGTGGGCGTGTGGAAGTCCCCTCTCAGACCAAGCACTTAGACCTCAGACCGAGCGCTCTCAACTGACTCTAACCCTGGATGCTTGTTCCTGGGAAGACAGAAGAGAGGAAAAAATCTCAGGGAGGACAAATACTTTGTCTCGCAAAATTGGCTATAGCAGGTGGCATGGTGGCTATTTCACTGGGCTCCCACATAGTCAACTGCAGTTCCAGTCCTGAATCTGGCAGCTTAAAACTCACGCCAGGCGTGTGTGCTCTTGTGCACAAAATCCCAAGAGGAGAATAGAGAAGATTTCAGCATGGCCATCTCCCCTGGGGGGTGATTTCTCGTTTTCTGTCTGTCTCTGTGTCTCCAGCGAGCACATGTACCCTATAGCAAAAAATCTCTTTTTAAAAAAAGAAAAGACCGGATGCAGCAAGAGGTTGGTGGAGGTTTCAGCCTTGGTCTCCCTGTACACTCAGACGTGGAAGCATTTGAAGACCCTGTTACCTCTGCGGAGAATGGGGAGATGCCTAGCATCCCTCAGAAGGCTTGAGGACTGAAGATTTCTCCTGGGTTTTGTTTGTTTTTAAGCACTTAGAGAGAATGCTGACTGGCCTAATATAAACTTGGATTAATTTGAGATGACTTTTCTTCTACATTTTGTCTTCCATCTCTGTCTCACGATTCCCTTCACTATTATTTGTAGAGTTTATTCACATCGATGCTTTCGTAGCTCTCCCACTGTTTGTCTTGTTACCTGTCCTTCCTGCATTTGGAACACATTTTCCCACTGCTTATTCATTCACTGACTTTTTACTCATTCCAAGTGAATCCCAAGCCACTGTGTGTGTGTGCTTTAGAGAGATTTTTGCTATAGGTGTGTGTGGTTGCCAGACAGAAAGAGAGAAAGTGAGAAATCACTCATCCTGGGGGCATGGCCACGCTGCAGTCCCTTTTCCTACATTTTCCTCTCAGGATTTCAGGCATGCACACACACATGCCCAGCATGAATTTCAAGCCTCTGGGTCCAGGACTCAAACCATGGTCTGCCATGTGGAAGTCCATTGCCTTAACCACTATACCACCTCTGGCCCCTACCCCTTGTTTATGAACTTTCTCTTGCTAGACTTGGAAGTTCGAGGAAGGCCAAGGCCATGGCTCACTTACCTTTGTTCCCCTAGTTATCCCACCCTGGAGTGAGCAGACATAGAGAAGCAGGAGGGTGTGTGGAATGAACGAGGTCCACTTCTAACACAGCATTGTGAAATATAAGGACAGACTTCATGACCGAATGATATTTGCATCGTCAAGTATAGCAAAAGCATAACTACTTCATTCATATTCATGCTCACTCAGATTCATTCTGGAGATCGGGGCCGGCATTAAGGGACAATGAATTACCTTTGGTATCTGGAGATCGGGGCCGGCATTAAGGGACAATTACCTTTGGTTTGTGTGGGTTATTCGAGGCCACTGAGTTGGGGGCCCTGAGCTCTCGGCCAGTTTGTTTCTGGAATTGATTCTGTGGTCCAGCATTGATTTTTGTCCTCAGAAGTCGTGGTTTCCCAGGAAGGATTATTTAAAACTGAATCAGGTTGTGCTATTTGCTGGGTTGAGTAAAGAAGCCTCTTGGTTCTGCTTCTGCGAACTCCCACATTGAACTGGGACAAGTTTTTGTTTTGAGTAATGCCTGGGAAAAGAGGAACCTTTCATTTTATTCAGAAGTCAAAAAGAAAGGCCTCCCCACCACCTGGAGATCTTGGTGGCGTACCGGCCTGGCTCTGTTCTCACGGCTGGCAGTGGAGTGTGCAGGCTCCCTTTCTGGTGCTCGGCCAGTGCTCCATGTTCCAGGGGCAGGGCCGGGAGCCGAGGAGTACTTGCACCTGGCTGGGGAGGGCTGCCCCCCAGAGCTCTCATCGCTTCCGGTGGGGCACAGGACTTGGTGCTCTTCGTCCTCCCTGAGTGTGCTCCAGGTGCGCACCTGCAGGAAGCGTGCCCAGGGCTTGCTTGGCGAGCAGCCACTGCATAAAGGGCCTGGGAGTCTTCTCTCTCTTTGCCTGTGGAGCTGGAGCACCATCAGGTCTGGCAGCTCAGCCAAAACAGGAACGCTTCCCAAAGGTACCCAGTGCCCAATGTGTGGGCCAGCTGCTGTCCAGTGAGAGGCCTTCGCTAAGGCCTGACCCCCGCTAGGCTCCGCAGTGAGGCCTGTGTCTGCTCTGCATGGACACCCCTCTGCAGGCCCAGAATGCAGTCGTTGTTCCTGAATTACCCCGGCCTCTCTTTGAGCATTCGATACTTCCAGATCCCTTATGTCTGTGCAAAGTTCTGTGCAAAGTTCTCTGAGATTTGATTCTCGGCCTGTAAGCCCTTTCTGTCGGCCTCCCATAAGTATTCTTGCTGATAAGCCATCTGTCTGTGTTCTCTGAAATGACTTGCTTTTTTTTTTTCCTTCCTTCCTGTTTCCACCTCACATGTATACCCTTCAAGGAACATATCATGTCACCAGATTTATTTTTCAACTGTTTTTTTTTTTGAGAGATTTTT